TTTTTGTAAAGGGGGGGGTGCACAGGTAAGATCTATTTATTGTCTTTGGTGGTAATTTATACAGAAATAAAGATTTTTTTCGAAATAAAAAGGGGGGAGGGGGGGGGGGGGTTGCGCGCCAATGAAATACGTTTAACAGTTTCAAAGCCAGTTTGTTGTTTCAGTAAAACATACTGTATTGCTGACAATTTGCTATTTACAGTAAATAAACACCTTATATCTTCTTCAACTGTACTTGTCACATCTTTTAGATAGCAGAAAGACATCAACTTGGCTTAGCTTGTACCAGTAAACACTGCATCGCGATAGGCATTGTATCGCGACCCTCCCATATCGTTACACCTCTAATAGCAATCAGCCAGTCTGTCTGTCCGTCCGTAATCATTTCCTTTTCCGGGGCAGAATTCGAAAACCATTCAGTGTATTTGATTGAAACTTGGCAAATCTGTCAGGCACATACTGAAGTGGTGCCTTTTGATATTTTGGGATTTTTCTAAAAAAAAATATATACGTTTTTATGGAATGAAGTTGGACATAGAATCAATTGGGGATGGGGTTCGTTACAGGGGCAGAATTTGAAAACCATTCAGTGTATTTGATCGAAACTTGACAAAGCTATCAGGCACATACTGAAGTGGTGCCTTTTGATATTTGTTTTTTACGAATTTTTATTTTTTACAATTTTTATGGAAAGAAGTTGGACCTAGACTCCATTGGGGAACGGGTTGATTTCCAGGTCAGAATTCGAAAACCATTCAGTTGGTAAACAATGTATGCTTCTTAAAGAACATTCAACTGTTGACTCATTACATACAGAATTCCACATTTACTAGTGGTTAGTGGTAGAGGCACATTACTTGGTAGTGTGCAATGATTGTCAAGGTGCTTCAATCTGGTTATAAGGTTGTAGAGGCACATTGTGTGGTGGTGTGTAATGATTGTCAAAGTGCATCAATCTGGTATGAGGTTGTAGAGGCACATTGTGTGGTGGTGTGTAATGATTGTCAAGGTGCATCAATCTGGTATGAGGTTGTAGAGGCACATTGTGTGGTGGTGTGTACTGATTGTCAAGGTGCTTGAGTCTGGTATGAGGTTGTAGAGGCACATTGTGTGGTGGTGTGTAATGATTGTCAAAGTGCATCAATCTGGTATGAGGTTGTGGAGGCACATTGAGTGGTGGTGTGTAATGATTGTCAAGATGCTTCAATCTGGTATGAGGTTGTGGAGGCACATTGTGTGGTGGTGTGTACTGATTGTCAAGGTCCTTCAATCTGGTTATGAGGTTGTAGAGGCACATTGTGTGGTGGTGTGTACTGATTGTCAAGGTCCTTCAATCTGGTTATGAGGTTGTGGAGGCACATTGTGTGGTGGTGTGTAATGATTGTCAAGGTGCTTGAGTCTGGTATGAGGTTGTAGAGGCACATTGCGTGGTGATGTGTAATGATTGTCAAGGTGCTTCAATCTGGTATGAGGTTGTGGAGGCACATTGTGTGGTGGTGTGTACTGATTGTCAAGGTGCTTGAGTCTGGTATGAGGTTGTGGAGGCACATTGCGTGGTGATGTGTAATGATTGTCAAGGTGCTTGAGTCTGGTATGAGGTTGTGGAGGAATATTGCGTGGTGGTGTTTACTGATTGTCAAGGTGCTTGAGTCTGGTATGAGGTTGTGGAGGCACATTGTGTGGTGGTGTGTACTGATTGTCAAGGTGCTTGAGTCTGGTATGAGGTTGTAGAGGCACATTGCGTGGTGGTGTGTACTGATTGTCAAGGTGCTTGAGTCTGGTATGAGGTTGTGGAGGCACATTGTGTGGTGGTGTGTACTGATTGTCAAGGTGCTTGAGTCTGGTATGAGGTTGTAGAGGCACATTGTGTGGTGGTGTGTACTGATTGTCAAGGTGCTTGAATCTGGTATGAGGTTGTGGAGGCACATTGTGTGGTGGTGTGTAATGATTGTCAAGGTGCTTGAGTCTGGTATTAGGTTGTAGAGGCACATTGTGTGGTGGTGTGTACTGATTGTGAAGGTGCTTGAGTCTGGTATGAGGTTGTGGAGGCACATTGCGTGGTGGTGTGCAATGATTGTGAAGGTGCTTCAATCTGGTTATGAGGTTGTGGAGGCACATTGTGTGGTGGTGTGTACTGATTGTCAAGGTGCTTGAGTCTGGTATGAGGTTGTGGAGGCACATTGCGTGGTGGTGTGTACTGATTGTCAAGGTGCTTGAGTCTGGTATGAGGTTGTGGAGGAATATTGCGTTGTGCTGTGTAATGGATGTCAAGGTGCTTCGATCTGGTATGAGGTTGTGGAGGCACTTTGTGTGGTGGTATATTTTGATTACTGGGGCCTTCTAGAAACGTTGATAAAGTGGCTGTTTCTTGTCTACAAGGTAAGATGAGACTTATACTTGGACTTTTTATATCCCCGTTTACAAAGTAATTTCGGGGGGGGGGGGGGGGGGGGGGGTATATAGCGTTCCATCTGTTTGTCCTTTCTTCCATCCGTCCGTCCTTCCGTCCGAGCTTTTGTACGGCCAATAACTTTTTAACCATGCACCAAACTTGCTACACACATTTACCACAATGGGTACTTGTGTCTTTTGCTAGTTTGAGGATTCTGAATTTTTTAATTTTTGCCGTTTCCATGGACACATTAAGAAACATCAAGAAAGTATGTTGTGCTAACCATTGGTTATCCCACACTAGATTGAAATATATTTGCAAAAACATGCGTTCATTTCAAACATGATGCATCCTCATGGGGGGTTACAAAGGAAAGGGCAGTTCCTCTGACTTAAAGCAACAGGTATATTTCATTAATTAACAAACTATTTACTATTTTTTGTTGACCAGCGGGGATAACGCGGGTATGTGACCTTTGTTAACTTTCTTTCTTGTTTCTGTTGCAATCATCATGCAAAAATTACTTATTCCATACGTGTTATCCCTTCCAGGCAGTGGAATCGGTACTGTCTGTCCATTCTTCCAAATATCACATTCCGTACTTGTCATCCCCGCCATGAAGTGGTAGCGGTATATTGGAATCGCTGATGTCTGCCTGTTTGTGAAAGACTGTTCCATAGTTCTTGATCAAATGTTGCACAGTATCTAACCTTGAACTGACAGGTGCCTTTTACTATTTAGAAGTTTTTGAAATTTCTTCGTTTGGTTTCCATCACAATAAATTGAGTGTAGGTTCAGATAGATGAGGCCAGGGTTTATTTCCGGAGCATAACTCAAAGACCATTTATTATTTCTTGATCAAATGTAATGAACCCCATCCCTCTCTCTCCCCTTCTCTCATTCGGGTAATAATGAACTTGGCTATTACCTGTTGAAGATGATTCAAGAATTACTTATCTGCTGAACTTAATGTGTAGCTTATTAACTTGATTCATGATTTACATGTTTTGGTCTAAAGCAATTGTTATTGCTGGGATAAGATTATTATCTAAAGAACCTAAAACTTCAAAATGATGTACACTCCACTCTTGAGCACTGCAATAAAATTAAATGATGTTATTCAACGTGTAAAGAGAATATCTGATCAATTCAAATGTTGGTTACCGATGATTCCTCATATATTGGTGTTGACAGGTGACCATCCTTCAGGTGGCTTCCAGGTGGCGAACACTCTGAACATCATGACTGGACAGGCCGGACAAGGAACACTTGGGAGAGGTGAGTGTTCATGGCTGAAGGGTCAGTAAACTACTAGATCTTGTGCAAGACTCTTACCATTCTCAGCGAGAAGGTGGTGCCGATCATCAATCACAATTTTATTCCCCTTGTCCCAAATGCCACCCTCATGTACTGATGGGTGATGGAGTAGTGTATACTAACTCCTGAAGTATTGACAATGATGTTGTGCCAGACTCTGTTAAACAGTTCTCAGAGCAGATCAGTGCTTATTTTCTGATGATGTGACCTCCCATGGAGGTGGCGTAAGAGCTTAACACAGAGAGGTATTGTATCGAAGAAAAAGTTAAGATTTAAATTTGGTTGAATTTGTTGAAGAGGGTTGAAACTGGCAAAATGGCAAACATTGCCATTATTAACAAGACTGAATGAAGAGGGCTATAAAATATGAATATAGTTGTGTACACTAAGTCAGGAACACATCTGTGTGATGTATAATCCAGATGCATTTTACCCCCCTAATGATTAACACAAGAAGATGTTTGTAGTTAGCAAATATTTTGTAGTTTAATTTTAACATCCAAGTATTTGCTGGGATGGTTAATAGTTTTCATTCCTCCACAGGTACCCTTGATTTGCGCACAGACGAGGCGAAGAAGATTTTTCTTCCAACTGAACCCTACAAAGACGTGAAACGAAAATTGAAGGAATTTGGACATGTGACCATCTGCGGGGCTTCGGGAGAAGGCAAGACAACGATGGCTCTGGTGTTGGGTTCACAGTATAGATGCAAAGGCTACGAGGTCGTGTTTGTGGACAACATTGAGAAGTTTGACTTAGACCAGTGTCTTAGTAGCCACCCCAGAGTATTCCTCATAGTAGATGACATGTTTGGTACTGTTGGATTATCTGCGAATACATCACAGGTGAAATCATTTCTAAACAACCTTCTCCTCCATTTAGAACAAAAGGGGAGTGCGGAAAAGCTGCAGTCAGAAATGCATGAAAGCACTGATGCTGTTGGTAAATCCAGAAAGAAAGAGCAGAGTCGACCAGAATTTCAAACAAAAGATAGTGATGCTGTTGGTAAATCCAGAAAGAAAGTGCAGAGTCAACCAGAATTTCAAACAAAAGATAGTGATGCTGTTGGTAAATCCAGAAAGAAAGTGCAGAGTCAACCAGAATTTCAAACAAAAGATATTCGTGTTGTCTTTACATCAAAGTCATACAACTTCCATGATGGACTTGCAAAACTGCAGTACGAGGGTTTCAAACTGTTCAAAGGTCAAACTGTAATGGATTTAACCACACAAGATAAATACTGGCTTTCTGACAAAGAGAAAAGACAATATTTGAACGACATAGGAAAGCTCTCGGTGACTTCTCCATGCAACATATACCTGATTACAGTGAGCTGGAAATCTGTTCAAATATCTTTGGATTCCCTCTTATTTGTAAACTTTGTTTTGAATTTTCATCTTTCTACAAAAATGCAAAATCATTTTTCAAGGAACCACTGTTTTATCTCAGGTTAGAGCTAAAGCGTTTGCTTGAAGAGAGAAATGACCGATCGGCCATTCTGGTTCTGATGCTACTGTGTGAAGACAAATTGGACCTGAGCAAGTTAGACAGTGAAGGTGAGGATAAGGAAATGGACAGCCTGGTCAAAACTGTTTTACAGATGATGTCTGACGCTACACGTTCAGGCATGTACAAAGCAGCTAAAGGTTTGAGAGGTACATTCTTCACAAGAGGAGACACTGTTGGCTTTGCTCATTCTTCAATCTATGATGCTTGTGCGTGTGCCTTGTACAATATCAGTCCAATCTTTGTTTTGAAGCACTGCAGTGATGACTTTCTGTTTGAAAGGGTACAAGGTGACAAGGTTGAAGAAACCAAAGTTGATGATCATCTCCATTTGATATATGTCTCAGAGAATTATGATGACCTACTTACCACAAGGTTTACACAGTCTATTAAAAAAGGACGGTTTTCTAAATCAGTGACACATCCAATTCTCAAACAAGACGCCACAGTTTTCAAGCTGCTCAAGAAACTTCACTGTGATCGGACAAAACATCTTTGGTTTCACAAGAAAGAGAAAGGACAATGTCTTCTGTACTGGGCAGTTCTTGGACATAATGCACGTCTATTTACAGATATAGAACACACAACTGGAGAAGAGTTCACTCAAGGAGAAATCAGTGAGGCCATGGAAGGATGTGCACAAAGCAACAAAGTGACAGCATTGAAATGGCTGTTCAGCAGGAGTGAGAAACATGACCATCAGTTGACACTGAACAGACTTTTGTTGGTAGCTGCTGAAAGTGGCAGCTCTGACATACTAGTGTATCTGCTGCGGGAAGGGGCTGATATTAACACAAGAGACAAGGGAATGCAAAACATCTTCCATCTTGTCTGTAAATCAGGAATGGAAAAAACCCTGGTAGTCCTGTTAACCAGGAAACCTGGGAAAAATGTTATAAACTCTGTTGATGTGAATGGCAGGACCCCTGTCATGGTTGCAGCAGCTCTGGGATCAGAGGGATGTTTTAAGTTACTGCAGACAACATCAAATTTGAAAGTGAAAGATAAACATGGCAGCGGAATTATTCATCTTGCCTGTCGTGGTGGGAACACTGCTATAGTACAACATGTCCTGTCTCCATCTAACATCAACAGCAGAGGGGTGCATGGATGGACAGCAGTAATGGCGGCAGCTGTCACTGGACATCAAAGTGTGTTTGACCTCCTTGTGTCCAACCAAGCTGACCTCACACTGGTGGATACATATGGTGACAGTTTACTTCATGTTGCCTGTCGTGGTGGGAACACTGCTATAGTACAACATGTCCTGTCTCCATCTAACATCAACAGCAGAGGGATGCATGGATGGACACCAGTAATGGCGGCAGCTGTCAATGGACATCAAAGTGTGTTTGACCTCCTTGTGTCCAACCAAGCTGACCTCACACTGGTGGATACAGATGGTGACAGTTTACTTCTTCTTGCCTGTCAGGGTGGAAACACTGATATAGTACAACATGTCCTGCCTCCATCTAACATCAATAGTACAGGCAGACATGGATGGACAGCAGTAATGAAGGCAGCTGTCACTGGACATCAAAGTGTGTATGACCTCCTTGTGTCCAACCAAGCTGAACTCACACTGGTGTCTACATCTGGTGACAGTTTACTTCATCTTGCCTGTCAGGGTGGGAACACTGCTATAGTACAACATGTCCTGTCTCCATCTGACATCAACAGCAGAGGGATGCATGGATGGACACCAGTAATGAAGGCAGCTGTCAATGGACATCAAAGTGTGTATGACCTCCTTGTGTCCAACCAAGCTAACCTCTCACTGGTGGATACATATGGTGACAGTTTACTTCATCTTGCCTGTCAGGGTGGGAACACTGCTATAGTACAACGTGTCCTGTCTCCATCTAACATCAACAGCAGAGGGAGGCAAGGATACACACCTGTGATGAAAGCTGTATTCCAAGGACATCAAGATGTGGTTGACCTCCTAGTGCAGCACAAAGCTGACCTCACACTTCTAACAGAGAATAATGACATTGAATGTGTAGCTCAGATGGGAGGACATCCAACACTAGCCAAGTATCTTCAAACAGTTAAACATCCTCACTGATTAAGCTGTGTGTTATGTGTTCTGAAGGAAATTTATTGATTGTGTATTGCAACTATGTTCTACTATAGAACATTCATTCTTGCAGACTTGGAAACACTGTAAAAATTTAGTCAATACATTTGTGCTTATTTTGTATTTATGCTGAATATATTTCAAGAGTATTGCTTAACAATTGTTAAGTGGCTGTCAACATTTGAACCTGTTGCCTTCATATGCAGGTGAGCTACATTGCTGAGGCACCATATTAGCAGTTAAGTCAGTTTTCTCAAATTTTCTATGAGAAAAAATTATTTTCCCCATTATTTAATCTGAATATATAAAATGAGAGCGAGGTGGAGCTTTTCGTCTTTAAAAGACAGGAATATGGGTGAAATGATGATTTTACAAACTGCCCATCTTTTTCTGATACGAAGAGCTAACACTGACCATCCATGTATTGCCACACAGCTAGCATTGTAGAAATGTCCTAATTTTGCTCTAGAGAAGTTTGTACAAATATTGTGATTGTAAATATTGGCTCAGTTTGTAATAAAATTCAATCGTCCTTGAAGATTGATGGTTTTGCTAGTTTTTCTTTCAAATCCAGAGTAAACTTAAACCTACAAGCACATTTATAGACAGATCTAGCTTGGACACCGACCTCCTTCAGTGAGGAGAACATACAAGTATCTGCTGAATCAGCATTCTTCACGAGCCGACAGTTACGTAAAATAATGAAATGCCGTAACTTGTTACCTTATTTTGTTACATTCATCAGCAATCACTGACGATTGGTGAACTGATGGTGTCACAATATTTACTAGATTTGCAGGTGCTGAAATAGGGTTTAAAGTCATATCCCAGAATATTGCACTTATATAGTGATGTGCATGTGTGCGTGTTCCGTGCGCACTTGATGTACGTACTAGTCGGGACTGATGCCGATTTATAGTGCTAGCTCACTGAGATACCATGCTGCAGTTAACATGAATGCCCCAGTCAGACACAGTATACTGACTCCGAGCCGACCAGTCCTTGTTTTAGCCCCTTTATGCTGAGTGCCAGACATGGTAACAACAAGTACCATCTTTAAGTGTCTCTTGATATGACGCACCAGGGAATTAAACCCCAGAACTTCCGCTCTCCAGGCAGACGCTCAACCACTAGACCACGGAGGCGGTCTACTAGATTTGTAAATAGTAAAGGTGATTTTCGTGTCATTTCATCATTCCTCTTTATTGCACTATCCATCTTGCACTAAAGAAATGTGAACGTGGTTGCCGGGATCAGGCTTGACCAAGTTCCTCCTCAGTGAGCGACACCTTCGTTACACTCCCGGAAACATCCCTGATAACAGTGTGGGCGCGGCCATTGCAAGAATCTTGAAATTTGCCCTTGTAGCCCAAATGTAGCAATGGTTATACTTCTGTATGTCTTCGGGAATGCCATCATAGTGAATTTTGAAAAGATTCAAAACTGACCATTAATCACTGGATTGTCTGTTCCAGACACAATTATTTACAGACCTCCGTTATTTAGCTGGAATATTGCTGAGTGCGGCGTTAAACAACAAACTAACCAACCAAATGAATTTACCTTTTTGTTTGTTTGATCAGATTGTTTCTAGATTCTATCAGGGGTAAGAGTATTCGGGTTATGTCACTTGTTTGTAAACATAATGGTCGGGTCAGCTGCGAGTTCAACTCCAAGCATGGTTGTAGCCACCTATCACAGTGGGGAGCTTTGACTGGTAGCGGAGATAGTATGGAGAGCTCCGCGAACAGGCTATCGCTATGAGGAGCTCGATGCTTGACTTGCAAAGGGACAAAACTGTCAAGTGCCACCCATCTTTCCTTCCACGTCAGATAACATACAGGCATCCAATGTGGCCTTCCGAGTCCTAATCATGTCAGCGCTGTTTACCATATGCCCTCTTCTGTTCATCGATTATTAACAGTTATTCCATGTTTCAAACAGGGAGTTATAGTATTTAACGTCCAAGAGGGTCTGGAAATGACCGCATTTGTCTGGGAGGTTTCATCAGACGTCTGACAGTCCATAATGCATTGCAACAATGCGGATCTTATGGTAATTTCAGACATATGTTAAGGTCATCATTACATATTATATTTTAATAAGATAATTAATAAATTAAAGGGATGGCCAAGTTAATCAAGCGATGGTCCAGGTACTCAAGGGATGGCCCAGTTAAAGGGATGGCCAAGTTAAAGGGATGGCCCAGTTACTCAAGGGATGACAAAGTAACTCAGGGGATGTTCCAGATACTCAGGGGTGGGCCCAGTAAAATCATGGGATGACCCACCTACTGAAGGGATGGTCTAGTTACTCAAGGGATGGCACAGTTACTCAAGGGATGGTCCAGGTACTCTAGGGATGGTCCAGGTACTCAATGTTGGGCCCAGTTACTCAAAGGTGGGCCCAGTAACTCAAGGGATGGCCCAGTTACTCAAGAGATGACCAAGTAACTCAGGGGATGGTCCAGATACTCAGGGGTGGGCCAAGTAAAATCATGGGATGACCCACCTACTCAAGATACTCAAGGGATGGTCCAGGTACTTAAGGGCTGGTCCAGGTACTCTAGGGATGGTCCAGGTACTCTAGGGCTGGTCCAGGTACTCAAGGGTGGTCCCAGTTACTCAAAGGCGGGCCCAGTTACTCAAAGGTGGGCCCAGTTACTCAGAAGATGGCCCAGTTACTCAAAGGATGACCAAGTTATTCGTGGTATGGTACAGTTACACAAGGGATGGCCCAGTTACTCAAGGGATGACAAAGTAACTCAGGGGATGTTCCAGATACTCAGGGGTGGGCCCAGTAAAATCATGGGATGACCCAGTTACTGAAGGGTGGGCCCAGTTAATGAAGGGATGGTCCAGTTAATCAAGGAATGACCCAGTTACTCAAAGGATGGTCCAGTTACTCAAGGGCTGGCCCAGTTACTCAAGGGATGGCACAGTTACTCAAGGGATGGCCTAGTTACTCAAGGGATGGCACAGTTAGTCAAGGGATGGTCCAGTTACTCAAGTGATTACCCAGTTATTCAATGGAAGGCCCAGTCAAATAATGGGATGACCCAGTTACAGAAGGGATGGTCCAGTTAATCAAGGGATGGCCCAGTTACTCAAAGGATGGTCCAGCTACTCAAGGGATGGCACAGTTACTCAAGGGATGGCACAGTTAGTCAAGGGATGGTCCAGTTACTCAAGGGATGGTCCAGATACTCAAGGGATGGCCCAGTTAATCAAGGGATGGCCCAGTTACTCAAGGGATGAGCCCAGTTAATCAAGGGATGGCCCAGTTACTCAAGGGATGGTCCAGTTACTCAAGGGATGGCCCAGTTAATCAAGGGATGGTCCAGTTACTCAAGGGATGGCCCAGATACTCAAGGGATGGCACAGTTACTCAAGGGATTGCCCAGATACTCAAGGGATGGCCCAGTTACTGAAGGGATGGCCCAGTTACTCAAGGGATGACCCAGATAATCAAGGGATGGTCCAGTTACTCAAGGGATTGCCAAGAAACTCAAGGGATGGCCCAGTTACTCAAGGGATGGCCAAGATACTCAAGGGATGGCCCAGATACTCAAGGGATGGCCAAGTTACTCAAGGGATGGCCCAGTTACTGAAGGGATGACCCAGTTACTCAAGGGATGGCCCAGTTACTCATGGGATGACCCAGTTACTCAAGGGGTGGCTCAGTTACTCAAGGGATGACCAAGTTACTCAAGGGATGGCCCAGTTACTCAAGGGGTGGCCCAGTTACACAAGGGATGGTCCAGTTAATCAATTGACGACCCAGTTACTGAAGGTTTGGCCCTGTTACTCAAGGGTTGACCCAGTTACTGAAGGTTTGGCCCAGTTACTCAAGGGATGGCCCAGTTACTCAAGGGTTGACCAAGTTACTCAAGCGATGACCCAGTTACTGAAGGTTTGGCCCAGTTACTCAAGGGAAGGCCCAGTTACTCAAGGGATGGCCCAGTTACTCAAGGGTTGACCAAGTTACTCAAGCGATGACCCAGTTACTGAAGGTTTGGCCCAGTTACTCAAGGGAAGGCCCAGTTACTCAAGGGATGGCCCAGTTACTCAAGGGTTGACCAAGTTACTCAAGGGATGACCCAGTTACTGAAGGTTTGGCCGAGTTACTCAAGGGAAGGCCCAGTTACTCAAGGGATGGTCTAGATACTCAAGGGATGGCCCAGTGACTCAAGGGATGGTCCAGATACTCAAGGGATGGCCCAGTTACTGAAGGTTTGGCCCAGTTACTCAAGGGAAGGCCCAGTTACTCAAGGGATTGCCCAGTTACTCAAGGGTTGACCAAGTTACTCAAGGGATGACCCAGTTACTCAAGGGAAGGCCCAGTTACTCAAGGGAAGGCCCAGTTACTCAAGGGATGGTCCAGATACTCAAGGGATGGCCCAGTGACTCAAGGGATGGTCCAGTTACTCAAGGGATGGCACAGTTACAGTCTTTAATATTATCTTAACCATGTTTTTTCTTCTTATGTAAGTTTTATTTGTCGATCATGCAAAAGAAAAAAAATACTTTGTTAATAAAAAAAATTCTGTCATATATAAATTCACACATTATTTATTTTTTTATGCACGAATGGTTTTTTTCACTCGCGCAAAACAAAGTTACTTTGTTAATAATTTTTTTTATGCAAGTTTTATTTTCTCATTGTATTTTTTTTCTATTAAACAAAAACATTTGTTTTTCAGTTTGTTTCATACACGTTGATGTTTCTATCATAAAAAGAACAACTTAGCTTACGTTTTTAAGAAATAATATCTTTTATGAATGTTCTGCTTGTGGTCGAAAAGACATTTGATGACGTAGATCTTTTTTTATGAAAGTTTTTTGAGATTTTGGTTTGAGGTATACACAAATACCTGATGCCCTCACTTTGGTCACACTCATTCATCAATTATTGTTTTAAAACATAACGTTGTATTCATATGAATCAAAACACATCTACTGAAAGCATGTCTGTCCTTACATATTAAAAGATTTGAGTCCATCATTACTTGTAGATTCACTGAAGGGAGTTTTTCTTGTAAGAGATTATTCATACTTGGGAAAAGAAGTTTACTCAGGTAACTTAGAGTGTTATTTTGTAAATGTTTTATTGACATTTTCTGGGCTGCCATAAGCCAGAACAATGCTGCTGCTTGACAATTGTGACGTCACAGTGATGGTACAATCGATATGATGTCATGCTGGAGATATTGCTACAATCAAATGACATCATTTGTAGGGATATCTCCAAGGAGGTATCGCTTGATCTCACACAAGGGATATCTACCGTGGGAGGTATTTTTGGATGATATGACTTTTTACGCCTGCTTTGCCTCAAAAGTATGATTTTTCTTATATGGAGAATGGGATCTCATTCATAAATCACGTGACTCAACCTTCAGCTCTGGAGAAAAGAAACACAATACAAAAGTATCAAGGTTCAATTTATTAAAATAATAAGTTGGTACACTACGCCGTTTCCCATTGTACTTCAAAACTATGCTGTGTCTAATTCCAAGGGGGGAAAAGAAAGAAAGATAAGGCTTAGTTGGATGTGTTTACAAATGTATACGCTATGTAGAACGGACTATATCATCTACAGGTGGGTGGCTGGCCATGGTATAGGGTGCAGTCAAGCGTTTAACTTGTCGGACGGAGTCTAGTATAGTCTGTATCAGAAATATTTAAGTCTGACCGAGGTCACGTGACGCCTGTGAGCGTGCATGCCAACGTCCGCCACCTTGTTTTTAGACACGTGTTGTTCTATGTTTAACGATTGGTCAAGTAATTAACTGTATGATTGCATCCGATCAGTTATTCAGTTGACCAATCGCCTTTGCAAACAGCATAAACAGCATAAATGGAAGTTGAGTTTTGTGAGTTTGCTGTCTCTGTCGAGGTTAAGAATTTTAGACACATTGGCCCAACAGTAAACTCGACCCCTTTGTTTTGACAGGTTCAGTCCTTTTGACAAAATTCATTTTCAGTTGAAATACTGGGTGTACTTGAAGCTAAGTGGTTCGGGAACAAGGGGGTATAAGGTTAAATGATATTCTGTAATGTACAGTGACGGAGCTTGTGAAGGACGGGGCAAATTCAACATCTACTGAAGAAGAAGCTTATGAAGGCGTGAATCGTAGCTATGTGTCAGCGACCACTAGATGTCCGATAGTAATAGCAGAGCAGTAAAAGCAATGATTTCGTAGTTACTCTAACCACATGCATGCAGTTCAGGGACCAGTTCCACCCTGAATTATCAAGGGAAAAGTACTACAGTTACCTAAAAACCTGAAATTGTAAATCAATAAAAATTGAGACTGCTCAGTGATCAAAGATTTTATTCAGGTTTTTGAGAGCTTCATGGGAATTCCTTTGACAAATACAGCAACACTTCATTGGAATTATCACTACATTTGTCAAGGGCACAACTGATATGTGCTTAAAACTTAATAAAACATACCATAGGAATTCCATAATGCCACGATACTTCTGCAATATACAATCCCAGAGCATCTACCACCATCTCTCGTAGTGAATGCTGGGTTCAGTGATGCCACAAGCCTTAAGCATTGTTTCTATACTTGCTATCATGGGGGATGGACCACACAGGTAGCACTCAACCTTCCCTGGTTTCAACCTGTCCGTCACTTCGTGTATGTGCTGCTCTTTGATTCGACTGTCTGTGAGAATAAAGATAAAACATACATTTCGCTGACATCCCTTATTAAACTATTGAAGACGTGAGATTTGTTTTGACCCCCAACATCCAAACCTACCCCACCCCTCCGCCCGTTTTATGGAGAAGGACGGCTTGGCAGCAACTGACACTGTCATAGATGTTTCCACTAAGGCTAAACCCGTGACAATGCTGTTGAATCATGGGTAATAATCAGGGGGATTCTGGGATTGAAACCCACAAACAACATATTCTTTCACCGTTAGTTTGATTTTATGCCGCTTTTAGCAACATTCCAGCAGTATATTGTCATTGTATTATTTCGGTGGACACCAGAAATGGGCTTCACACATTGTACCCATGTAGGAAATCGAACCAGGGTCTTCGGCGTGACGAGTGAACGCTTTAAACATTTGGCTACCCAGACCGCCCCCATTACGTTAAGTCAAAAATAGAATCTGCTTGTAATAATAGGATAACACAAGCCTACTGCTGGAAGATACGAAATATCAGATATATGATGTACACTTACTGGCTTTGTTCAAAATGTATTTATTAAGTTTTAGAATGAATCACAACATTAACTATTATAGTTGTTTTGGCATCTGGAATATTGGGCTTTTAGCATGGTGTCACCATTGATGTAGCTGTAGTCCTGCTCAGCTCAAATCTGCAGCAACTGTCAGTAAGGTTTCCCACACTCTGTTAAAGTGGTTTTAACAATGTTTAAGGCTTTGAAGATGTGACTTGTACTTCACTGAAAAACAGGACCAATAGGGAATCAGTGAGTGAGTATGATTTTACGTCGCTTTTAGCAATATTCTAGCAATATCACGACGGAGTACACCAGAAATGGGCTTCACACTTTCTGCCCATGTTGGGAATCGAATCATATGATTGTCTATATCTCATGTATAATAAAAATAAATAAACAAATCTAGATAATTTCCGCCAGACACAATTTCACGCACAAAAAGTGTTTTGTTCACACAAAATCCTCAGGCAACAATGATTAATATGAGAATGTTTTTATGTATTATAAATGGAAATATACAAAAATCCCTACCAAAAGTGGACTGGTATAGATCAATGTTATGTATCGACAAATAGAACGTTTCTCTGAAGGCCTTGCTTATGGTATAGAAAGTGAATGTAAACGTACGACATTTTCAATGTTACTTTGTGTAGAACTAACTTTATCTACGTGTACCTACGACGGTGCATATAATTGTGTATGTACCACACGTTATAACAAAGTACAAATATATGGATACGCTGCAACAAGTTTTAGAATTCAACAGTTATTGGCAAAATGTTAATTTCCGCGAGACAACAAATCACGCACAAAGCTTGTTTCCACAAACTCCCTAGGCAACAATGATTGTTAGCTATGGGCGCCATTTTACTATTTCCTCCCTTCATATTGATATCACTTAATGACTTTAGATACTAGTATCAATAAATCGAATATCGAATCCGCCTCAAATGTCGTTTGGGCAATGAATAAGCATGAATTTCGCAAACGAGTCCTGTTTCATGAGCCGATTATGTGGCACAGATAAAACACGGAAACAGGTTTGTGGAAAATGGGGCGAAGTGTTTTGGCAATTTTCGTTTACTGATCGTGTTAGTTTGTTTTCTCTATATTTGTCTTCTCGGTAACTACGGGCCTATATAATTTTGGTCCGTGCAGGAACGAACCGGAACCAGTCAATGTGGAGTGTTGGCCAGAAGCTGGGTTCCATCTCTTCATTCAGTAGTTGAAACAGCCTGGTTCCCTGGGTATGCCGCGCTGGCGCTACATAGTGTAAGCTGGGTCCCGTCTCTTATATAACACTATATTGGCATAGTGTAGCGCCAGCGTAGCATACCAAGGGAACCAGGCTAGATCTGTAATAACAACCAATGGAATTAACTATTACTATACACTGCGGGACGAAGCTATTAATAGTTTGGGTATTCCCGTTTTTCAGTTTTCTTTAAGAACAGCGAGCAAAAAGCCAGTTTAGAAAAATGAACTCACGAAAAAACTTTTAATGGCAGTAAGAGAAGGACAATTGATATGATGATATCATATTTAGGACGGGACGGGAACTTGTTGTTGCTGTATATCGAGCAAGATGCTGAAAGTGAAAGCGAAAGTAGGATTCGCTCTACCGCGCACTGCAACGGAAGTACAGGTAGACCAATCAGGATGCTGTTTTAAGTACCAGTCTCCCACTTCTCAACATGCTGAAGACTTGCCACGTATTCCGCGACGTAGTGTTCCGTGAGTATATTTAGTATAGTATTATATTATCAGCTGGTAATATGTACACTGTATTTGGAGTCTGTGTAACAGACACGTAGGCATGCAGACAAAACGTCCGGAGTGAAGCATGTGCATACAGAAATGTTCAAGCAGATTTCAGACAGTGTCTCTGGATGTTGAGTTCATTTTTTGAGCGTTGTGCCGCCGTTGGTCCATCTGTCGTTACTCTGCCAAACCTATGAATCTGAAACTTTGCATGAATCATACAAGCTATTGTGTCTCAGTCCTATAAAGTGCTCACAAAAATGTTCATCGAACTTTGAGCACGGCCGCCATTTTGAGCTCAGTCTGTTTGTCCTTGTCTGTTGTGCTTCCTGAATATCTTCTCTGGTGTGACACTGATTGAATTGAAGCTTGATGACATCCCAATATGTTCAAGACGTTGAAATCCAATTTTTGACACTCAAAAGTTCTGTTTTTCTGATGTTGTACATTTTGACCTTGGTTAACCTTCATATTTTGATGTGAGGTGAAATGGTGTTTAGCGTCACGTCCCAAATTGTGTATGTGCATGTGCGTGTGGTTGTACTACTCCGGACTAATGCTGATTTTATAGTGCTAACCCTCTAGATACCAATCCGCAGTTTAACATGAATACACCACTCAGAAACAATATACTGACCCAAGCTGTCCAGTCCTTGTTTTAGCCCCTTACTGTGTCGGGCTGAGTGACAAGTACCTTCTTTTAATGTCTTTTGGTAGGATACAGCCAGGGATCGAACCACTGACGCTCTACCTCTAGACCAAGGAGACGGTCTTACGTTATGACCATGTCCTTTCAAATGTATTTTTGGCCCAGTTAAACTCATCACTTCCAAAACTGAGGAAGCTGAACTTTGGCAAGTATGTTTCACAACCATGAATGAATTTTGACCCTCGGCAATCCCAAGACAGAAAGCTGAACCCTTGCATGCACAATAATTACTATATGAGAAGGCTTCATCTGGAATTTATCTTTGGTAGACATGCAATAATAATACCATAAAAAAGAAAAAAAACTAATGTAAATCAACCAATTATATTAGGATACGTTATATTTAAAAAAAAGATTCTTGGTTTGACGTGGAATGTATTTTTTTTACAGATAGTCTTTCATTTTTTGGACAGTTACTGTGAATATTTCTGGGTGTCTGTAGACACAAAGAAATAGGACTTTGGAATATGACATAGCAGTCATTACTCTTTTGTCAGCATATTAAACAAATTAGGAGGTCATTTCAAAGAAGTTATCACAAATTCTTTGATTCTCCTCAAATGTTACATCAAAGAAGAATGTTCTGAACGTGTGGTACTCTTGTTATATCATGGACAGTGTTCATAAATGAGATAGGATGATGCATTGTGAGAATGAAAAATACCAATGTTTTTGTAAATATAAACAACAAAACCCTTTTCCTAATCAAAGAAATCTCTGCTCAATACAGAGGACATTATAAAAAGTGTGTTGTAAGTAAAGATTTAACCATGAAAACCCAAATGGGATACTGAAATGATGACCTGCATCTCGATATACAGCTGGTGAGCTACAGTACCCATGACACAATGATGTCAGACTGGCTTCACTTATTGTCACAGCTTGATTAGATTCCCCTCCATTTTCACAGATAGTGCATGGCGATGTGAAGAGAACTGTGATGGCCAGTACAGATGAAGACTGTGGACACCATCTGGTAATGGCAACTTCTGGTGAGCAGTCTAAAGGTCACATGGCTACTTCTGGTGAGCAGTCTGAAGGTCAAATGGCAACTTCTGGTGAGCAGTCTGAAGGTCACATGGCAACCTCTGGTGAGCAGTCTGAAGGTCACATGGACACTTCTGAGCCTCAAGGACATTTGGCTATTTCTGATGTTGACATGGCAAGTTCAGCTGGGGAAATCTTCACAACAGAGGATGACTCTGGAAACAGCGTGGTCAGTTCAGACGAGGAACCCCAAGGTCATCTGGTATTGGCAGATTCAGCTGAGACCGAGGAGGACCTTGAGCCAGTGAGCCAGCCACCAGTCAAAAGATTAAGAACAGGTGGGTGTCACTGTTGCCCCCCTAAATGTCACCATGTTTGTCATTTTAAAAATAATTTACCCAGCAACGCTATTTACAATTTGATTCATCAAGTGAATTATGTCCATCTCTTAAGAATATAGGAAAAATAAAGTAGTGTTATGTAGCTCGGACGTGCACGCATGCACACATTGATTAGTCATCCTCAAATTTAGTACATATCCTCCCCAGGGCCTGTAGGTTTCTCAGTATGTAAGCTAGAGTCAAGGTGCTTCAATCTGGTTGTGGAGGCACATTGTGTGGTGGTGTGCAATGATTGTCAACGTGCTTCGATCTGGTATGAGGTTGTAGAGGCACATTACTTGGTGGTGTGTAATGAATGTCAAGGTGCTTCAATCTGGTATGAGGTTGTAGAGGCACATTGTGTGGTGGTGCTTCAATCTGGTATGTGGTTGTAGAGGCACATTGTGTGGTGTTGTGTAATGATTGTCAAGGTGCTTCAATCTGGTATGAGGTTGTAGAGGCACATTGCGTTGAGGTGTGCAATGATTGTCAAGGTGCTTCAATCTGGTATGAGGTTGTAGAGGCACATTTTTATCCCCGGCATATAATGCGAGGGGGATATAGCAATTAGTGGTGTAATGATACGGCGATAGAGTATTGTATCCCGATGCACAGCCCACGATACGATGCATCGATTTGGAAAGCATGTATCGCGATACATACAATATTTTCATAACACAGTTTTACCTACCGTATTTTCTTGAGTATAGTGCGCACTTTTTTTTCCAAAATACACAGCTGTGTAGAAGGGGTTGCGCATTATACACGAATTAATGAGTTTTGATGTTTTCCCCCATGGAAAGACATTACCGTGAGCACGTAACACCGGAAATACCATGTCAACAAATCCATACTGAAGTTCGCAAATTATTCATGTAATTACACTGTCTCAAAGCAAATTATTCATGTAATTACACTGTTTCAAAGCCAGTTTGTTGTTTCAGTAAAACATACTGTATTGCTGACAATTGCTATAACAGTAAATAAACACCTTATATCTTCTTCAACTGTACTTGTCACATCTTTTAGATTGCAGAAAGACATCAACTTGGCTTAGCTTGTACCAGTAAACACTGTATCGCGATACGTATTGTATCGCGACCCTCCCATATCGTTACAACTCTAATAGCAATCAGCCAGTCTGTCTGTCCGTCCGTAATCATTTCATTTTCCGGGGCAGAATTCGAAAACCATTCAGTGTATTTGATTGAAACTTGACAAATCTGTCAGGCACATACTGAAGTGGTGCCTTTTGATATTTTGGGATTTTTCTAAAAAAAAATTTATACGTTTTTATGGAATGAAGTTGGACATAGAATCAATTGGGGATGGGGTTCGTTAGAGGGGCAGAATTCGAAAACCATTCAGTGTATTTGATCGAAACTTGACAAAGCTATCAGGCACATACTGAAGTGGTGCCTTTTGATATTTGTTTTTTACGAATTTTTATTTTTTACAATTTTTATGGAAAGAAGTTGGACCTAGACTCCATTGGGGAACGGGTTGATTTCCAGGTCAGAATTCGAAAACCATTCAGTTGGTAAACAATGTATGCTTCTTAAAGAACATTCAACTGTTGACTCATTACATACAGAATTCCACATTTACTAGTGGTTAGTGGTAGAGGCACATTACTTGGTGGTGTGCAATGATTGTCAAGGTGCTTCAATCTGGTTATGAGGTTGTAGAGGCACATTGTGTGGTGGTGTGTAATGATTGTCAAGGTGCTTCAGTCTGGTATGAGGTTGTGGAGGCACATTACGTAGTGGTGTGCAATGATTGTGAAGGTGCTTCAATCTTGTATGAGGTTGTGGAGGCACATTGCGTGGTGGTGTGTAATGATTGTCAAGGTGCTTCGATCTGGTATGAGGTTGTGGAGGAATATTGCGTGGTGGTGTGTAATGATTGTCAAGGTGCTTCAATCTTGTATGAGGTTGTGGAGGCACATTGTGTGGTGGTGTGTACTGATTGTCAAGATGCTTCAATCTTGTATGAGGTTGTGGAGGCACATTGCGTGGTGGTGTGTAATGATTGTCAAGGTGCTTGAGTCTGGTATGAGGTTGTGGAGGCACATTGCGTGGTGGTGTGTACTGATTGTCAAGGTGCTTCAATCTGGTATGAGGTTGTGGAGGCACATTGCGTTGTGCTGTGTAATGGATGTCAAGGTGCTTCGATCTGGTATGAGGTTGTGGAGGCACTTTGTGTGGTGGTATATTATGATTACTGGGGCCTTCTAGAAACGTTGATAAAGTTGCTGTTTCTTGTCTACAAAGAAAGATGAGACTTATACTTGGACTTTTTATATCCCCGTTTACAAAGTAAATCGGGGGGGTACATAGCGTTCCATCTGTTTGTCCTTTCTTCCAACCGTCCTTCCTTCCGTCCGAGCTTTTGTACGGCCAATAACTTTTTAACCATGCACCAAACTTGCTACACACATTTACCTCAATGGGTACTTGTGTCTTTTGCTAGTTTGAGGATTCTGAATTTTTTTATTTTTGCCGTTTCCATGGACACATTAAGAAACATCAAGAATGTATGTTGTGCTAACCATTGGTTATCCCACACTAGATTGAAATATATTTGCAAAAACATGCGTTCATTTCAAACATGATGCATCCTCATGGGGGGTTACAAAGGAAAGGGCAGTTCCTCTGACTTAAAGCAACAGGTATATTTCATTAATTAACAAACTATTTACTATTTTTTGTTGACCAGCGGGGATAACGCGGGTATGTGACCTTTGTTAACTTTCTTTCTTGTTTCTGTTGCAATCATCATGCAAAAAATACTTATTCCATACGTGTTATCCCTTCCAGGCAGTGGAATCGGTACTGTCTGTCCATTCTTCCAAATATCACACTCCGTACTTGTCATCCCCGCCATGAAGTGGTAGCGGTATATTGGAATCGCTGATGTCTGCCTGTTTGTGAAAGACTGTTCCATAGTTCTTGATCAAATGTTGCACAGTATCTAACCTTGAACTGACAGGTGCCTTTTACTATTTAGAAGTTTTTGAAATTTGTTAGTTTGGTTTCCATCACAATAAATTGAGTGTAGGTTCAGATAGATGAGGCCGGGTTTATTTCCGGAGCATAACTCAAAGACCATTTATTATTTCTTGATCAAATGTAATGAACCCCATCCCTCTCTCTCCCCTTCTCTCATTCGGGTAATAATGAACTTGGCTATTACCTGTTGAAGATGATTCAAGAATTACTTATCTGCTGAACTTCATGTGTAGCTTATTAACTTGATTCATGATTTACATGTTTTGGTCTAAAGCAATTGTTATTGCTGGGATAAGATTATTATCTAAAGAACCTAAAACTTCAAAATGATGTACACTCCACTCTTGAGCACTGCAATAAAATTAAATGATGTTATTCAACGTGTAAAGAGAATATCTGATCAATTCAAATGTTGGTTACCGATGATTCCTCATATATTGGTGTTGACAGGTGACCATCCTTCAGGTGGCTTCCAGGTGGCGAACACTCTGAACATCATCACTGGACAGGCCGGACAAGGAACACTTGGGAGAGGTGAGTGTTCATGGCTGAAGGGTCAGTAAACTACTAGATCTTGTGCAAGACTCTTACCATTCTCAGCGAGAAGGTGGTGCCGATCATCAATCAGAATTTTATTCCCCTTGTCCCAAATGCCACCCTCATGTAGTAATGGGTGATGGAGTAGTGTATACTAACTCCAGAAGTATTGACAATGATGTTGTGCCAGACTCTGTTAAACACTTCTCAGAGCAGATCAGTGCTTATTTTCTGATGATGTGACCTCCTATGGAGGTGGCGTAAGTGCTTAACACAGAGAGGTATTGTATCAGAGTAAAAGTTTAGATTTAAATTTGGTTGAATTTGTTGAAGAGGGTTGAAACTGGCAAAATGGCAAACATTGCCATTATTAACAAGACTGAATGAAGAGGGCTATAAAATATGAATATAGTTGTGTACACTAAGTCAGGAACACATCTGTGTGATGTATAATCCAGATGCATTGTTCCCCCTAATAATTAACACAAGAAGATTTAGTTAGCAAATATTTTGTAGTTTAATTTTAACATCCAAGTATTTGCTGGGATGGTTAATAGTTTTCATTCCTCCACAGGTACCCTTGATTTGCGCACAGACGAAGCAAAGAAGATTTTTCTTGCAACTGAACCCTACAAAGACGTGAAACGAAAACTGAAGGAATTTGGACATGTGACCATCTGCGGGGCTTCGGGAGAAGGCAAGACAACGATGGCTCTGGTGTTAGGTTCACAGTACAGAGACAAAGGCTACGAGGTCGTGTTTGTGGACAACATTGAGAAGTTTGACTTAGACCAGTGCCTTAGTAGCCACCCCAGAGTATTCCTCATAGTAGATGACATGTTTGGTACTGTTGGATTATCTGCGAATACATCACAGGTGAAAACCTTTCTAAACAACCTTCCCCTCCATTTAGAACAAAAGCGGAGTGCGGAAAAGCTGCAGTCAGAAATGCATGAAAGCAGTGATGCTGTTGGTAAATCCAGAAAGAAAGTGCAGATTCAACCAGAATTTCAAACAAAAGATAGTGATGCTGTTGGTAAATCCAGAAAGAAAGTGCAGAGTCAACCAGAATTTCAAACAAAAGATAGTGATGCTGTTGGTAAATCCAGAAAGAAATTGCAGAGTCAACCAGAATTTCAAACAAAAGATATTCGTGTTGTCTTCACATCAAAGTCATACAACTTCCATGATGGACTTGCAAAACTGCAATACGAGGGTTTCAAACTGTTCAAAGGTCAAACTGTAATGGATTTAACCACACAAGATAAATACTGGCTTTCTGACAAAGAGAAAAAGACAATATTTGAACGACATAGGAAAGCTCTCGGTGACTGCTCCATGCAACATATACCTGATTACAGTGAGCTGGAAATCTGTTCAAATATCTTTGGATTCCCTCTTATTTGTAAACTTTGTTTTGAATTTTCATCTTTCTACAAAAATGCAAAATCATTTTTCAAGGAACCACTGTTTTATCTCAGGTTAGAGCTAAAGCGTTTGCTTGAAGAGAGAAATGACCGATCGGCCATTCTGGTTCTGATGCTACTGTGTGAAGACAAATTGGACCTGAGCAAGTTAGACAGTGGAGGTGAGGATAAGGAAATGGACAGCCTGGTCAAAACTGTTTTACAGATGATGTCTGACGCTACACGTTCAGGCATGTACAAAGCAGCTAAAGGTTTGAGAGGTACATTCTTCACAAGAGGAGACACTGTTGGCTTTGCTCATTCTTCAATCTATGATGCTTGTGCCTGTGCCTTGTATAATATCAGTCCAATCTTTGTTTTGAAGCACTGCAGTGATGACTTTCTGTTTGAAAGGGTACAAGGTGACAAGGTTGAAGAAACCAAGGTTGATGATTATCTCCATTTGATCTATGTCTCAGAGAATTATGATGACCTACTTACCACAAGGTTTACACAGTCTATTAAACAAGGACAGTTTTCTAAATCAGTGACACATCCAATTCTCAAACAAGACGCCACAGTTTTCAAGCTGCTCAAGAAACTTCACTGTGATCGGACAAAACATCTTTGGTTTCACAAGAAAGAGAAAGGACAATGTCTTCTGTACTGGGCAGTTCTTGGACATAATGCACGTCTATTTACAGATATAGAACACACAACTGGAGAAGAGTTCACTCAAGGAGAAATCAGTGAGGCCATGGAAGGATGTGCACAAAGCAACAAAGTGACAGCATTGAAATGGCTGTTCAGCAGGAGTGAGAAACATGACCATCAGTTGACACTGAACAGACTTTTGTTGGTAGCTGCTGAAAGTGGCAGCTCTGACATACTGGTGTATCTGCTGCAGGAAGGCGCTGATATTAACACAAGAGACAAGGGAATGCAAAACATCTTCCATCTTGTCTGTAAATCAGGAATGGAAAAAACCCTGAAAGTCCTGTTAACCAGGAAACCTGGGGAAAATGTTATAAACTCTGTTGATGTGAATGGCAAGACCCCTGTCATGGTTGCAGCACATACAGGATCAGAGGGATGTTTTAAGTTACTGCAGACATCAAATTTGAATGTGAAAGATAAACATGGCAGCGGAATTATTCATCTTGCCTGTCGTGGTGGGAACACTGCTATAGTACAACATGTCATGTCTCCATCTAACATCAACAGCAGAGGGGAATATGGATGGACATCAGTGATGCTGGCAGCTGTCACTGGACATCAAAGTGTGTTTGACCTCCTAGTGTCCAACCAAGCTGACCTCACACTGGTGGATACAGATGGTGACAGTTTACTTCATCTTGCCTGTCGTGGTGGGAACACTGCTATAGTACAACATGTCATGTCTCCATCTAACATCAACAGCAGAGGGGAATATGGATGGACATCAGTGATGCTGGCAGCTGTCACTGGACATCAAAGTGTGTTTGACCTCCTAGTGTCCAACCAAGCTGACCTCACACTGGTGGATACAGATGGTGACAGTTTACTTCATCTTGCCTGTCGTGGTGGGAACACTGCTATAGTACAACATGTCATGTCTCAATCTAACATCAACAGCAGAGGGGAGTATGGAAGGACAGCAGCAATGAGGGCCGCTGTCAGTGGACATCAAAGTGTGTTTGACCTCCTAGTGTCCAACCAAGCTGACCTCACACTGGTGGATGCAGATGGTGATAGTTTACTTCATCTTCCTTGTCATGGTGGGAACACTGCTATTGTAAAACATGTCCTGACACCTTCTAACATCAACAGCAGAGGGGAGTATGGAAGGACAGCAGCAATGAGGGCAGCTGTCAGTGGACATCAAAGTGTGTTTGACCTCCTAGTGTCCAACCAAGCTGACCTCACACTGGTGGATGCAGATGGTGATAGTTTACTTCATCTTGCCTGTGAGGGTGGGAACACTGCTATTGTAAAACATGTCCTGTCTCCATCTAACATCAACAGTAGAGGCAGACATGGATCGACAGCAGTGATGCAGGCAGCTGTCAGTGGACATCAAAGTGTGTTTGACCTCCTAGTGTCCAACCAAGCTGACCTCACACTGGTGAATACAGATGGTAATAGTTTACTTCATCTTGCCTGTCGTGGTGGGAACACTGCTATAGTACAACATGTCCTGTCTCCATCTAACATCAACAGTACAGGCAGATATGGATGGACAGCAGCAATGAAGGCAGCTGTCAATGGACATCAAAGTGTGTTTGACCTCCTAGTGTCCAACCAAGCTGACCTCACACTGGTGGATACAGATGGTAATAGTTTACTTCATCTTGCCTGTCAGGGTGGGAACACTGCTATAGTACAACATGTCCTGTCTCCATCTAACATCAACAGCAGAGGGATGCATGGACATACACCAGTAATGATGGCAGCTGTCACTGGACATCAAAGTGTGTTTGACCTCCTAGTGTCCAACCAAGCTGACCTCACACTGATGGATACATATGGTGACAGTTTACTTCATCTTGCCTGTGGTGGTGGTGGGAACACTGCTATAGTAAAACATGTCCTGTCTCCATCTAACATCAACAGTACAGGCAGATATGGATGGACAGCAGCAATGAAGGCAGCTGTCAATGGACATCAAAGTGTGTTTGACCTCCTTATGTCCAACCAAGCTGACCTCACACTGGTGGATACATATGGTGATAGTTTACTTCATCTTGCCTGTCGTGGTGGGAACACTGCTATAGTACAACATGTCCTGTCTCCATCTAACATCAACAGTAGAGGCAGATATGGATGGACAGCAGCAATGAATGCAGCTGACTATGGACATCAAAGTGTGTTTGACCTCCTAGTGTCCAACCAAGCTGACCTCACACTGGTGGATACATATGGTGATAGTTTACTTCATCTTGCCTGTCGTGGTGGGAACACTGCTATAGTACAACATGTCCTGTCTCCATCTAACATCAACAGTAGAGGCAGACATGGATGGACAGCAGTGATTCAGGCAGCTGTCAGTGGACATCAAAGTGTGTTTGACCTCCTAGTGTCCAACCAAGCTGACCTCACACTGGTGGATACATATGGTGATAGTTTACTTCATCTTGCCTGTCAGGGTGGGAACACTGCTATAGTACAACATGTCCTGTCTCCATCTAACATCAACAGCAGAGGGATGCATGGACATACACCAGTAATGGTGGCAGCTGTCACTGGACATCAAAGTGTGTTTGACCTCCTAGTGTCCAACCAAGCTGACCTCACACTGATGGATACATATGGTGACAGTTTACTTCATCTTGCCTGTGGTGGTGGTGGGAACACTGCTATAGTAAAACATGTCCTGTCTCCATCTAACATCAACAGTACAGGCAGATATGGATGGACAGCAGCAATGAAGGCAGCTGTCAATGGACATCAAAGTGTGTTTGACCTCCTTGTGTGCAACCAAGCTGACCTCACACTGGTGGATACAGATGGTGATAGTTTACTTCATCTTGCCTGTCAGGGTGGGAACACTGCTATAGTACAACATGTCCTGTCTCCATCTAACATCAACAGTAGAGGGAGTGAAGGATACACACCTGTGATGAAAGCTGTATTCCATGGACATCAAGATGTTGTTGACCTCCTTGTGCAGCACAAAGCTGACCTCACACTTCTAACAGACAGTAATGAGGACATTGAATGTGTAGCTCAGATGGGAGGACATCCTACACTAGCCAAGTATCTTCAAACAGTTAAACATCCTCACTGATTAAGCTGTGTGTTATGTGTTCTGAAGGAAATTTATTGATTGTGTATTGCAACTATGTTCTACTGTAGAACATTCATTCTTGCAGACTTGGAAACACTGTAAACAATTAGTCAATACGTTTTGTATTTATGCTGAATATATTTAAACAGTATTGCTTAACAATTGTTAAGTGGTTGTCAACATTTGAACCTGTTGCCTACATATGCAGGTGAGCTACAGTGCTGAAGCACCATATTAACAGTTAAGTCAGTTTTCTCAAATTTTCTCTAAAAGAAAATTATTTTTCCATTATTTAATCTGAATATATACTGTGAGAGCAAGGTGGAGCTTTTCGTCTTTAAAAGACAGGAACATCGGTGAAATGATGATTTTACAAACTTCCCATCTTTTTCTGATACAAAGAGCTAACACTGACCATCCATGTATTGCCACTCAGGTAGCATTGTAGAAATGTCCTAATTTTGCTCTAGAGAAGTTTGTACAAATATTGTGATTCTAAATTTTGGCTCAGTTTGTAATAAAATTCAATCATCCTTGAAGGTTGATGGTTTTGCTAGTTTTTCTTTCAAATCCAGAATAAACTTAAACCTACAACCACATTTATAGACAGACTTAGCTTAGACACCGACCTCCTTCAGTGAGGAGAACATACACGTATCTGCTGAATCAGCATTCTTCATGAGCCGACAGTTACGTAAAATAAAGAAATGCCGTAACTTGTTACCTTATTTAATTACATTTAACAGCAATCACTGACGATTGGTGAACTGATGGTGTCACAATATTTACTAGATTTGCAGGTGCTGAAATTGGGTTTAAAGTCACATCCCAGAATATTGCACTTATATAGCGATGTTGGTGTGTGTGTGCGTGCGTGCGTACTACTCAGGACTGATGCCGATTTATAGTGATAGCTCACTGAGATACCATGCTGCAATTTAACATGAATACCCCACTAAGACACAGTATACCGACTCCGAGCCGACCAGTCCTTGTTTTACACCCTTTATGCTGAGTGCCAGACATGGTAGCAACAAGTACCATCTTTTAACGTCTTTTGATATGACGCACCCTGGTATTGAACCCTGTACCTTCCGCTCTCTGGGCGGACGCTCTACCACTAGACCATGGAGGCGGTCTCTGGGCGGACGCTCTACCACTAGACAACGGAGGCGGTCTACTAGATTTGTAAATAGTAAAGGTGATTTTCGTGTCATTTCATCATTCCTCTTTATGCACTATCCATCTTGGACTGAAGAAGTGAGAAATTGGTGGCCGGGATCAGGCTTGACAAAGTTCCTCCTCAGTGAGCGACACCTTCGTTACACTCCCGGTAACATCCCTGATAACAGCATGGGCACGGCCATTGCAAGAATCTTGAAATTTGCCCTCGTAGCCCAAATGTAGCAGTGGTTATACTTCTGTATGTCTTTGGGAATGCCATCATAGTGAATTTTGAAAAGAATCACGAATGACCATTAATCACTGGATTGTCTGTTCCAGACACAATTATTTACAGACCTCCGTCATTTAGCTGGAATATTGCTGAGTGCGGCGTTAAACAACAAACTAACCAACCAAATGAATTTACCTTTTTGTTTGTTTGATCAGATTGGTTCTAGATTCTATCAGGGGTAAGAGTATTCGGGGTTACGTCACTTGTTTGTAAACATAATGGTCGGGTCAGCTGCGAGTTCAACTCCAAGCATGGTTGTGGCCACCTATCACAGTGGGGAGCTTTGACTGGTATCGGAGAAAGCCTGTTCGCAGAGCTCTCTATGCTATCGCTATGAGGAGCTCGATGCTTGACTTGCAAACGGACACAACTGTCAAGTGCCACCCATCTTTCCTTCCACGTCAGATAACATACAGGCATCCAATGTGGCCTTCCGAGTCCTAATCATGTCAGCGCTGGTTACCATATGCCCTCTTCTGTTCATCGATTAATATCAGTTATTCTATTTTTCTACCAGGGAGTTATAATATTTAACGTCAAAGAGGATCTGGAAATGACGGCATTTGTCTGGGAGGTTTCATCAGACGTCTGACAGCCCATAATGCAACAATGCAGATCTTATGGTAATTTCAGACGTATGTTAAGGTCATCATTACATATTATAATTAATAAGATAATTAATAATCAATGGTCATCATATATATCTGACTGACTCCAACAAATGTATCCGACAAGTCCAGTCATAATTTGAGAAACGGAACATCATCTTTCAAAAGAACATTTAACATTGGTTCCCTCAATACTTGGAACAAACTCAGTATTGATATTGAAAGAAGTCCTACTTAACCTGCATTTAAATATTTTAAGACCCCTGTATGCTATTTAGTAGGACCGCTACTATGGGCTATGGAAAGTACCGTGAAAAAGGTTTGCTAATGTATGCGGTAGGATTTACAGCACACTTCCTCAACCTGATTGGTTACAAATCATTAAATAGGTTGAACACCTGTACACCAATCTCTTCTTTAATTACTTATCTGCAAATACATAGACTTTTTTTATGGAAAGGGAACTTTTTTGTTTTTGATCTGATACTGTTATTCAGGGTTGTATTTCTATGAAATAAAGCATACAATTTCTCGAGGATTGACTGTGTTACTCAAGGCTTGGCCCAGTTAATCAAGGGATGGCCAAGTAGCTCAAGGGATGGACCAGTTACTCAAGGGATGGACCAGTTACTCAAGGGATGGACCAGTTAGTCAAGGGATGGTCCAGTTATTCAAGGGTGGGCCCAGTAAAATCATGGGATGACCCAGCTACTCAAGGGATGGCCCAGATAAAGGGATGGCCCAGTTACTCTAGGGATGACCAAGTAACTCAAGGGATTGCCCAGTTAAAGGGATGGCCAAGTTAATCAAGCGATGGTCCAGTTACTCAAGGGATTGCCCAGTTAAAGGGATGGCCAAGTTAATCAAGCGATGGTCCAGTTACTCAAGGGATTGCCCAGTTACTCAAGGGATTGCCCAGATAAAGGGATGGCCCAGTTACTCTAGGGATGGCCCAGTTACTCAAGGGATGACCAAGTAACTCAAGGGATTGCCCAGTTAAAGGGATGGCCAAGTTAATCAAGCGATGGTCCAGTTACTCAAGGGATTGCCCAGTTAAAGGGATGGCCAAGTTAATCAAGCGATGGTCCAGTTACTCAAGGGATTGCCCAGTTACTCAAGGGATGGCCAAGTTAGTCAAGGGATGGCCCAGATACTCAAGGGATGACCCAGTTACTGAAGGTTTGGCCCAGTTACTCAAGGGATGGCCCAGTTACTCAAGGGATGACCCAGTTACTCAAGGGATGACCCAGTTACTCAAGGGATGGCCCAGTTACTCAAGGGATGGACCAGTTAGTCAAGGGATTGTCCAGTTATTCAAGGGTTGGCCCAGTAAAATCATGGGATGACCCAGCTACTCAAGGGATGGCCCAGATAAAGGGATGGCCCAGTTACTCTAGGGATGGCCCAGTTACTCTAGGGATGACCCAGGTACTCAAGGGATGACCAAGTAACTCAAGGGATGGCCCAGATACTCAAGGGATGGCCCAGTTACTCAAGGGATGGCCAAGTTAGTCAAGGGATGGCCCAGATACTCAAGGGATGACCCAGTTACTGAAGGTTTGGCCCAGTTACTCAAGGGATGGCCAAGTTAGTCAAGGGATGGCCCAGATACTCAAGGGATGACCCAGTTACTGAAGGTTTGGCCAAGTTACTCAAGGGATGGCCCAGTTACTCAAGGGATGACCCAGTTACTCAAGGGATGGCCCAGTTACTCAAGGGATGGCCCAGTTTCTCAAGGGATGACCCAGTTACTCAAGGGATGGCCCAGATACTCAAGGGACGACCCAGTTACTCAAGGGATGGCCCAGTTACTCAAGGGATGGCCCAGTTATTCAAAGGATGGCCCAGTTACTGAAGGTTTGGCGCAGATACTCAAGGCACGACCCAGTTACTCAAGGGATGACCCAGTTACTCAATGGATGACCCAGTTACTCAATGGACGACCCAGTTACTCAAGGGATGGCCCAGTTACTCAAGGTATGGCCAAGTTACTCAAGGGATGGCCCAGTTACTGAAGGTTTGGCCCAGTTACTCAAGGGATAAACAGTCTTTAATATTATCTTAACCGTGTCAACCATGTTAACAGACAAAGCGAACTTACAAACAGTGTTGTCTCCTTTCCCAGCTGTCTCCTCTGTGATGAAATACATTGATGACATGTTGTTTGACTTCATATTGCATAATTCATCATTTCTTTTCTGAAAAACAAATCAAATATCAGTACTGGGTATCAGAAATCTGAACTATCAAGAAAAGTTCCTTACACCTGGATCATTAAAAGATCTCAAAATATATTTCTCTAAACATACATAGCTGTCTCAATGCTGAATGGTCAATTTGTATTACTTCACACGTATTACCACAGCCATAGTATTTTCCTTAAAGTGATTCACGAACATGATGTCTAAAAAGTCATTATCAGGGGAACTTCCACATTAAAAAATCACGGGTGGCCCAGTCACCTAGATTCACTGTGCAGAGTTGCTTCCCATTGGCACGCCAGAAACCAACGAATGTGGGTTCGAATCCCGGTTCGCCCGGATTATGTTTCTAGGTTTGTCAGCATCATACCCGTGCTTGTGGGTTTCAGCGGAGTGAGGCCTGCATCACTTCTGGCTTTCCTCCCACACTATACTGACACTTCTCCTGGCTTGGTCTTGTGTTCACTGTGCAACTCCGACTGTCATTTGTTTCATTTTGTTTTATTAGCGCCTCGCCCAATATTATTCTGCTCACTTAATATGACACCAGGTACAGCAACTAAAGACACCACCACAAATTTATTATGCCGAAATGCTTTCACTATTTGGTGTTTTTATTGCACATGTATATCATGTCAAACTAAAAACTTCACACCAACAACCCTTAAAGGGCAAGTTCACACGGAAATGAACCTATTTTACTTGTACTTTTTCCACATTAAAAATATGAACCTAGTAGTGTCATAGACAAAAATAAAAAAATATCACAATTAATTAACATATTTTTTTCATTAAAACGATTTACATTTTTCACATTTATCAAGTGTTCTATTCCCATAACAAAAACACCATGGCTTATGTCCCTTGCAATATGACGTCATTGGTGCCAATTTATAAACATTATGACGTCATCATGCTTTGTTAGAGCCGCTTCACGTGGTGTAGGTACAGGTGTGTGATTCTAGCGTCTCAGATGCCAGCAAGCATAGTGTTATGCTGAGTCACCACTGCGCCGGTGTGTGTCGTAGGCCATGTTGTTTTACCGCAAACTGGTACTTGATATCTTTTGCGTTGAGAATAGACAGGGACCCAGTTGAATTGGCACCAATGACGTCATAATCTAAGGGGGATAACTCAGGCCTGTTTAGCTCGAAAAACGAAGGCCTCATAACGGCATATCATTTTCACACTATTGTGAGCTTCCTACTTTCACTGTGAAAAAAATGAGTTTATATTTTCAAACACAGATACTAACTAATTCTAAAATTGCGTTTTGTT